AAAGCTTATGATAAGGTGTCCGGCAACATACTTTGCTATATTCATATACCACAACCACACTGCCAGGCACCAAAATACCCTCTCCTCTGCCTATAGGCATCTTCACTAAGTTTACATTTTTAATTCTCCCCATTGTCCCCAAACTGTTTCTAAGACTGGAGAATCTCCTGCCTTTTCTTATGAAGGACTAGAAATTTTAATTAGAAAAAGAAGACTAACCCTTTCTTTTGAAGTTCATTTCCTTTTTCATGAAACTTATTTCCATTTATTATCCTACCCACCCAAGACCATTGCACCAGATCTGTGATAGAATTTCCTACCGTATGGTTGTTATTCTTGGCAAAAGTCTATCAGATAGTGGTAGTCTGGCTCATGTAGCAGAGATGCATATAGTTAAATAGAAAGCTTTGAATACCTCTGAAATATTACTGCTATTCAAATAAATGATTTCTTTTTATAAAATTAGATGAAATTCTTGTGAGTTTTCTCTCGCCTAATTTCAGCACAGACATACTAACATCTTTAGCTCATTCTAAAACATTCCTCAAAAAGGTTAAGGTTGGTTCCTTTAAAACTCTTTCTCCCCAGAGCAAAGTTTTTAAAATGACCTCTGATATAGTGAGCTCAAGGATCTAAGCTCTAAGTACCTCTAAACCTCTTCAATTGACTAAGTCTCAGTCAGAGAGATAATGGAACAGATCAGAAAGAAAAGAAAACAAACACTCCTGTCAGTCTGGTTTCTGGGAGAGGAAAGTAAAACCTGATTTGTCCTTGACACGCACCCAACTGGTATAAATGAGACAGAAAGATTCCTCCTTCATAGAAACAGAAGACAAAGCACATCGATTTCACTCTCCTGAAAAACCAAAAGTGTTAGTGGCTCAGTTGTGTCTGAGTCTCTCTGACCCCACAGACTGTAGCCCACAAGGCTCCTCTGTCCATGGATGTGGAATTCTTCAGGCAAAGATATTACAGTGGGTAGCCGTTACCTTCTCCAGGGGATCTTCCTGACCCAGGAACTGAACCCAGGTCTCCTGAATTGCAGGCAGACTGTTTACTCTATGAGCCACCAGGGAAGTCCTTTCACTCTCCGACTGGGCCTCTAAGTAGCCTAAGCATCTGCTTAACGTAATGAAAACCATCAAAAACCAACTGAAGAAAGGAAGAGTTGAAAAACAAAGGAGCTAGTCAACTCACTCTTCATCTAAATTAATCACAGTAATAAGGAAAATTGTTATCTTTGTTTCAGTATTCCAAAGCAAGAAACACTGCTAGATTCTTTACACATATAAAGAATCTACCAAATTTCAACAAGCCTGCAAAAAAAGGCATTATTAGCTATCCATATATTATAGATGAGAAAACAGTCAGAAAAGTTCAGTAGCTTTCCCAAGGTCAGACAGCTCATCAGTACTAAAACAATTTTGACTGTAAAGCCCATTGTGCTTTCTTGTCTGTCACTTCCCTTGCTCAGTCAGTTAAAAGAGGGAAGTCAGCAAACATTAGCCTTTACTTTCCTTCTGTAAGCTTCTGATACCATCCTGACTTGAGACATATATTCTGGAATTACAATCAGCTCAAATATTAATAAACTTTTATAATGGCTACATCCTCTGTGTCTTACACTATTACATGCTAACATGTTCCAGAATTATTCCTGTTGGACAAATTATTCTGTCCCTTTCAGATTTACCTCCCCATTCATACACATTTAGTCAGAGAAAAATCTAGGTTCATCAGATTGCTAGACTTTGTAAATGGCATATTCATTTACATAGCTAATTTCTCAGGAAACAAGTTTTCTTTGTTCAAAGACTGAAAACTACTAAGAGTATTTATGTTTTAGTAATAAAGTCTCTAATTAGCATAAGAACAAATCCTTCAAAAGTTTGATCCAAATGAAAAAATGTAAAGTAGCATCACTCTTTTCTACTAAGGGACTGGTCTGAGTTCATATAATTAATCAATAAATCCTATTATTAGGATTTTTACAACAAAAGAACCCCATCAATTAGGATAACACATCATTAAAATGGCAAAAATAAGAATCCATATAGTTCCTCATGCAGAAACAGGCTTTAAAATAATTTGAAATTATCTCATTTCATGTATGTGAATCTGAATCATTCACGTATGATAGGTAAATGTATCTGTAGTTAAAATTATATTGTTTTAAGTTATATCCTTGTTTTATGTTTCTAAGTTGTACAGAGTTTTATGTACAGTAAAATCACCTATATTAACCTTTGAGAGGTTTATACTGGTAAAGGAGATTCATACCTGAGCAATCTACTTGGGAAAAAAGACATGGATCTCACTGTTTTTTAATCGTATCTTCCTTTCTCTTTTCTTTGACAAGTTCCACAAATACCACTTATCTTTAGGTGATTCGAAAAAATCTTAAACCAATTACACTAACTAAACTATTTTAATTTTTGAACATGGTCTAACATTTACTCCAATCTTCACTCACAACAATAATACTCAAGTCAAATTTTTTTATCAAAAAGGTCAACAATCTTTTATCAATCTTTATCAATCTTTTATCAAAATAGGTCTAATATGACTCATGTCTAAGTCTTTGACTGTATTTTCCTTTACTTTTTAATCTTACAATTTAGATCGGAGTTAACAAACTTTTCTGTAAAGGGTTAGATAGGAAATATTTCAGGCCACAAGATCTTTATTGCAACTGCACCACTTGCGGCTGCAGTGGAAGCACAGCCATGGAAGATATATAAATGAATGTGTGTGGCTACACTTAGCTGGCACCTGACAGATTTGGCCCATGGCAGTGGGCTGACCTATGTGCTAAGAAAGAAAGGAAATACTGTGTCACTACAATCACCTGAGGGTATCTTAATATTCAGCCTGACAGAAGAAATTATTCTGTCCATAATCATGCTGAATGTAGACTGCTTCGATATTACATACAATTAATCTTGACCCAGAGAGTGCTAATTGTAATAGTTCACCAAAGTTAAAATGTGCTTTACCATATAACCACACATTTTTTTTTGTTAGGCTGGCACCAGATAAACAAGGCCCCATTCTAACTGTAGCCAGGCTTTCTAACTTGTCTGTGATCTCTTTCATCTCTCATCTTATTTCTCAGCCCAATTCCACTGGACACAATACTTTTTTTTTCCTTCCAGGAAGATCAAGGTATCACCACCTCCTCCATATACAAAAAGTGATTTCAATCTCCCCTACTTCCGCTACCAGAGTTGAAGGTTGACTTCATTTCCAATCCCCTTCCCTGCTGCCTCCCACTGTATAAACTGGACAAGCTGAATGCTCTTTCTCAGCCTCCCCTGCAGATTAGCATGCCCACATGATAAAGTTCAGGACAACAAATATCTCATGAAAGACTGCTGGGTGGCAGCGTGGGAGGAAATGCCCTGACAAAGACTGCATGTGTTCTAAAAATGAACAGGGAGTCACAACTACCAGAACGGCTTCCTTCCTCTTTTTTTCTGCCTTAATGCAGACATAATAACTGAAACTGGAGCAACCATCTTGCAACCTGGAATCCCACAATCATTTGAAGAAACTAAGAGAACTCTATAGACCCATCACTGAAAACTTTAAGCCACTACAGCAATGCCAGTGGCCACTTATCTTCAGAACTGTTACGTGCAAAGTAACAGACCTATAAAGCGAGCTTCCGTTACACATAAAAGCACTCCTGGTCTACCTTTTCTTGAATGTGCTAGGGTCCTGAGTCACTCCTTTTGCAGAGGCTGAGCACAGTTGTAAATTCTGACTAACCAGTGCTGTTTCAATCAAGAGAAAAAAGCATCAAGATGAAAATCACCACAGGGGGACTGCCTGAGAGTTGACAACCCGGGCGATAGAGTCAATGAGAGCAAGGAAAAGCGAAGGCGCAAGATCACCCAAGTGCCAAAGAACAAATATAATTGGAAGAGTACGCCTTTGAACTGGGGGGGCCCATAAAACTAACAAATGTCCTACTCCACAAATCAAATTGGAGAATCCTGATTATATTAATCTGCAATCACACATTCCCACTGTTTGAAAAATGCAAGTTCAGATCTCAGTTTTAATAGTGACTTTTTGTTGCATTTTTACCCAGTGAATTAATTTATCTTTATGCTTCTCTTCGCCTTGTTTTCACAAAGGTATAGTTACTGTCAATATGTGATCATTTTTGACACTCAAAGAATCTTCAAAATAATTATTAAAATCACATAAATTATGATACTGACAGTAAGAACAATGGTTCCTTCAGGAATTCACATACCCTGGCAGACCCAGGATCCTAACTTTAGGGACAATCACTTCTCTTTTTTGACAACTGAGAGTGCAAAAATACCCAAAGATAAGCAATTGTACCCAGTCAAAACAATTTCAGCAATACACTTATTTCAACTCATATATCCCTTAAAGTACAATCCTTAAGATAAAACTTCAGTTTTCACTTTATTTTCTTACAAATAACACAATCATACATATTTACACTCACACACCCCTCTAATTCTACACCCAATAGTTTCTCTTCCATGAAAACCGTTTGGTGGTATTATGCTGCAGTATAAATATCTATCAATTACAACATCTATAACCTACAACGGATTTTTTTTTAATGATACTAGACTAGAATGCCTTAGAACTGTCCAGGCTTTAGCCAGAAAGAGTACCAAAGACAAAGATGTTTTGGGCTCAATTGCAGTAGTGGACCAGAATTTAATAAAGTTCCAGCACTACATGTTAATGCCCAGGTTCCTGACTGTCCTTCTGAGTTGACAAATGCGTGCTCCACCGTATAGCAGCAGGGGAACAGCTGGGCGGCTGCATCAAGCACAAAGGGAGCCACAGCACATGCTGCCAAGTGCCGTTCTGATTACCGCGAAATGGCAGCCCATGCAGATTCACACTCGGTTATAAATTAGAACAATTATTTCTCTGGAGTTTACATTTTCTTCATGAAAGAGTCAAACTTTCTGAATGCTAAAAAAGAGGACTTTCAAAAAGGATATCTTCCCTTTCTTTGATGATCAATTCATTCTGTTCTTCCAACTGCCTGATCTTCTTCTCAAATGATTCCTGCTCAGCTTTGAGTCTTTCTTCTGTGACTTCCTTTTCCTCACTTACTCTGAAAGAAATGTAAATGAAAAGAAAATGCCCATGAGAATAAAATAAAATATGTGCTGACAGCTGTGGTTTACCAAAACTAGATTTCTTCCAGAAGCGTGCTGGTGTTTTGGGGGATACTTTATGTCTTTAAAATTTCTTCTCAAATTAACCTTTCAGAAGGGAATATTCCAAACCTTTGTAATAAAATTTGTATGTGATTTTTACATTAAGAATTTTTGCAATAGTCAGAACTGTCTTAAATATAGAAAGTCCTACAGTTTATGGGTTCCCAATTATGATTCAGGACAGAAAAGTATCTAATACAAAGATTCCATCTCTTCATTATCAAATAGGCACAATTTATATTGATTTAGATTTTTTCCATACTTCTATTTAAATCCTAACAATAAAATAAACAACATATATATCACTTAAATATTTCACAAAATAGGCATGGGCAATTTTACTTTTTCCTGGTACCTATACCCTGCAATCCTCAGTAGCATATAAATGACTGGACTGCAATTTTTAAATGGAATTAACATAAAAAAGGTCTGCACATTTATTCTTAGTTCAAAAAGGATTATGAAGTTAATAACACTGACCAAAAATATGTATCTTTAATGCTTAACTCTGAAAAACATCCCAACTTAAAAAAAAAAAAACAAAAACACCTAAACAACAACATTAAAACTTACCTTAACAGAGGACAACCTTAATTTTCATGTTACTCTGTGAATAGAAATGTTGGTTCTGAATTTAAGTTACTGGTGATTAATTCTCCAAAAAGAGTACAATACATTTTACCCTATAAGATTACACTGGGACATGGATAAGTGAAATCCACAGGGAACCCAAATCTTTTCTCTGAGCATCTAACTTTATCTCTTCCCTCACCTGTGTTCTACCAGAACAGCTTCTGAATAACATGGACCCCACAGTCTCTGCTTTGTGGCTAGATGGCGATAAGATCAGTGAGATAATAGAAGGAAAATTAAAATTCTGAATGTTCAAGAGTTGACTGCATCTTTCAATTCATTTGTGTGAAAGTGCGTGGCATACAATGTTTTAAAAAAAGAGATTTATTTTCTCTTGCTTATCATGACATTCAAATCATTTTCCCAACTCCTATCATTTACATGTAGCATACTACTAGGCTCATGAATGGGACTCAGGACTTTCTTTCTAAGAGGAAAATCTCTAGTACTGATACAATTACAAGGAATCCAGAAAACTAAACAAAGAACAAATACATATATACATAGAGGATTTATACTCTGGTTTCAGGTTATCCTGCCTCTCTTATTGCCATCTTTTTACAATGCCTTCCCTTTCCCTGTCAGTATTCTCAACCACGTTTGCACTAACATGTTTCACAGTAATTTTCCACTGCCTCTAAGTTTTTTCTAAAACTGTCAAACATTTGAACCATTAATTAATTCTACCATCCAAATCACTCCTCTTCAATCTATCAACCAGTTTCTGAAATAACTTTGCTGGAGACAAATACACCCCCAAACTGTAAATCAGAAAACCACATATATATAGTGACTGTGGCAAAGCATGCTTATTTCTCTGAGCATCAATATTTCCACTTGTAAGCAAAAAAAGCTAGACTAGACAATTTTAAAAATTCTTTCAAAAAAAAATTCTTTCCAGCTTAAGTTCTATAATTTCTTTCACTATACTATAAATATACTGAAACTATACATGTCCTTTACAAATATGGAGGGCATTTGCAAAGAAATAAGAAAGAAGTCATCAAACATTTGGTTGGGTACAAGGGTAACACTGTAATCTATGCAAAAGCCATAGTCAAAGGCTGAAAGAGGCAGTGTCAAAGGATAAGAGACATTATAAACTGTAAAAATGCAAAATTTAGCATGAGGTTAATATAATACAAAACAAGTGATGAATCTGTAGAATTATGCATAAAATAAAGATGAAATAGGTACTGCTATATACTGTAAGCAGAGAATAAATGAACACTTTCAAGGTGAGAAAGTATGTGAGCAAATCTCTCCCTTTAGATTGGTAAGATCTTGAAGATAAGGCTGAAGAGGAAAATACATAAGTAGGTAAGAGAACATTTATTTTCATTTGCTTATTAAAAAATATTAGCCAAATATCTAATATAGGAAAAAATAATCATAGTAACTTTACCCAGTTATGAGATATCCAAAAGGAACCTCACAGTGGCCCACTGTCATTTCAATCCCATTCATAAAAGCCATAGAAATATGAGGAATGACCACAGATTTGTTTCTTCAAGAAAGCAAGGCTTACAGCAATTAGGGCAGAAAAAGAAGTAAAAGGAATCCAGATAGGAAGAGAAGAAGTGAAACTCTCTCTGTTTGCAGATGACATGATCCTCTACATAGAAAACCCTAAAGACTCTACCAGAAAATTACTAGAGCTAATCAANTTAATCACTTGTCACATGGCATCTGATATACCAGGACGCAAATACTCCATTGTGAACCATGTGTGTATTGGGAGTGAATTGGTGTCCCAAAAAACAAATATGTGTCAGGGTTTGAGTCTAACTCACTTCTCCTTCCCACAGCAGCACTGCCCAACCTTCCTTATATCTCACTGTCTCAGGGGTCATTTGTCTGGAGTCAGGGAAGTTTCAAAGGAGACTCCTGGCAAATGTGTGAGTACAAAGAGGACATATTGGACATGTGAAGGTTGAAGTCAGATATAGATTTCAAGTTCAGTGTTACCATCAACTAGCTGGATGATCTTGGGCAAATTACATCATCCTTCTAGGCCTCTTGTTTCCTTACCTGTAAAGTAGGGGTAACAGGACCTACTGGATTATGGGAGAATTGAATGAGATAATTCCTGGAAAGAATCAGTCAATCAATAAATGGTGGTGGCTTCATTGGTGGTGGGTGGTGGTGGTTGTTCACAATAAAAATAATGATCATTTAATTCAAGATTAGTGTTGAAGGAAATTCCAGTGTAAGAAAACATGTTGAACTGTAAAGTTACACACAGGCAATCTGGAGACTATTACCTATGGATGTCTTTGTTTCCAAGTTGGCACAACTTGTGAAGCCCTACCGTTTAAAAATCCTCAGGGCTAGGGTCTTCTCTGGCTGTCCAGTGGTTAAGACTCCACACTTGCAATGCAGGGGGCTCAGGTGAGATCCCTGGTCAGGGAACTAAGATTCCACATGCCAAGAAAACAAGCCACAGTTCTCTTTGTCCTTCTGGACATTTTATATCTTCAAGGGTTGAATGTGGATATAAGTTTAAAATATGAAAAAGAGATGTTTAAACATTAGAAATGTTTATTTGAATCAGAATCTATAAGTTCGTGACAGATGAACTTTAAAAAATGTAGAATTAGAACAGGATATGTGTTTGGACCCCAATAAACAGTGAACTCTGAGAGTTGGTGATGGACAGGGAGGCCTGGCGTGCTGCGGTTCACGGGGTCGCAAAGAGTCGGACCCAACTGAGCAACTGAACTGAACTGAAACAGTGAACTTGCACAGTCTTCCTGTCATACGATATGTCCCCCACTGTTTGAGATGGTCACACTGAGCCCAATTCCTAGCATAGTTCATCTTTTATCAAGGGCCTTAGTAGAAGAGCAGTGTAAATAAATCAGATATGTCTCTTAATATTTTAAAGAAGAATTAACATTCTAGGATAAAAATAGTAAAAAAAAAAAAAAGTCCACTATCGCATTGACCTAACATCAAAGTAAATTCACATAGTATGTCTAGAGCCTGCTAGGTCAGAACATCTACCTCAACATTTACTTACTCCCTTTGTTGAATGTAAACAAAATCCATGAAAACTATAGGGATCACTAAGGGCAAAAAATGATTGTACATATACTTCATGATGCCAGTGGCTATGATGAGGTTTCCCCAAAACTTAAAATACTCTATCTAGAAAAACCACTGTTTTCTAAATTTAGTTTCCAGAGATGTTTGAAAATATTGTTGCTACACTATTCAAACAGAGCTTTTAAAAAAAAAAATAAAATCTTTTCTCTTACGCACTATGATCAGACTACCCATTAGTGATTATTATGTTCTGGAAGGCTATAAAATTAACAAGCTGTGTTAAGCACAAAAGCCAACACTTCTATAGGCCTATCTAAAGATATGCATGGCTTCTCTGTGGCCTATTAGCATAGTTAATAAGAGCAATTATATTAATACAGCCTTAAATGGTGAGGGCTTGCCAATAAAACAAACTCAGGATTTTATATCCACTCTGAAATATGTCTTCCTGTTTATGTTCAATATTTCCCATGAGGTACATACATGAGAAATTATCCAGTATCATGACCTACATTTTTTATCAAAGCATTCTCAGACCACAAAGTAACATAAAAATACCTAATCTTCTATCTAATTTAGAGTATAGCAGTAAGCTAGTTAACAAAACAAGAATCTAAATACACATAACAAAGGGAAATATTTGACTAATAGGGATAGAAAAATTAAAAACTCTGGACAAGAGGATATTCCCAGTGTTGGTTTGTTAATTATTCACAAGAAGGACAATAGTCTGTTCATAAAGTAAGAAATCACCATTTCAACATCTGTTTAATGTACCAGAATATTTCTCAATAATGTCCACAAATTGTACTTTTTTTTAATCTAACAAGAACAGAGAATTCATACACTTAAGAGTTGCATCGTTGGGCTGAAAACCATGCCAAAAGGCCTGAATTTCTTTGAAGCCTTATGTTTTAGCTTAAACATCCCTAAATATTTTTTTTTAATTTTACTCAATAAGACAATCTTTTCTGTTTTAATATAAAAAATTTCCCCATGTTCATCTATTCTTTATTTTTTAGTAAAACTAATGTTCAAGAAAGAGATTTACTTTATGGTTTTATATACCCACAGTGTCTTCCAGGTACTCCAGGAAAAGGTACTTTCACACTAATATGAAAGACAAGGTGAAGGCAGTAAAGTTTCTAACCCAAAGAGAATTAACCAAGGCTCACGCGATGGTCAATCAAATAAATTTCTTTACCTGATTGAT